CCCCTTTCAAGTGTTACAAACGCGAGGCTACTTAAATAATTCTTCCCCATTGACTTCTGCGCCGCTGTATATCGCTACGACAAGCGAATCGCAACCGGCCATACGCTCAATTATTATCCTCCGACTGAGATTTTTTTATGTCAAGGCAATTCATCATTCGGACGTAACGGTGGTAATGCATAAATAAGAAGCTGAGGAAAGTAGAGCTTCCAATTTCCCGTCGAATCCATGCCTGCAGGCTGTATTCTGAATTTCTTCAAAAAGGTATCGCAGTACAAAAATCCTTATAGTTTTATCATCTTTTATATTTAGCAAGGTTTATATAACCTCTTCGTTGCAATTAGATTTATCTTTTCCATTTGCAATAAAAGATGCGACGTGTTTGTCTCGTTCGCGTAAAGCTTTGTGATCAACGATGTGAATATATCGTTAGACGCACGATTAAACGTATATACAATACATGAATACGTGTAGGTGGATGGCCGTTTAACACAGGAAAACACTCTTTGCTGCGTAAATCTCTTAGCAGTTATTATAAGAAATTATTTAACAGGTAGCTGATATAATCAACTTCCTATTTAGCAATAAATCGCGAGTTATTCGTATATCTTACGATGGATCTCACAATGTGTGTGATATGCTAAGTCCTTTTTTATTGTTTTCTAATATTTTTGCGTTGCGAATGTAATATAATTTGATTTGTTTTATTTATATTTTATTTCATTTATGTTTATTTAAAAATTTGTCATTACGTTGAATTAAAATTTCCAAAAAATGTGTAAAATTTATTTTATTATTTAAAAAATAAGATATTTGTGTGTGTGCTTGTGATATCTTGCGGATATTTATGCATATATGTTACGTAATGCTATGTATATATTTTTTGTTTAATGTACCGGTAATTCGACGTACAGAAGCGTATCGTTTAAAATCGCGTAACTTTCTACTTTATGAATAAATGCTTGTCACTGAGAAAGTATCTATTACTTCAAAATTTTTAATATAATGAAATAAACAATCGCCGTATCTTATAAAAAAATAATGTCGCATTGCTTCACGTCTATATCGGATTCTATAATCAGATTGTATAGATTAATCTTTCTAATCACATAAAATTGTCTTAAATTGAAAGCGATGTTACGAACATCGACAAGAATGTTCGTAAAGTTCTAATCACGCAAGTTGGCAAACCACTCTCGCTCATACTCGAAAGCTACGGCGAAAGCGGAGCTCGTTCCTTCCGTTTTACTAATTTGGCGACTTAGCTTTTCTTGATGTCTCACTATCGTAATAGGTTTTCCCGCCCAAATTCGTCAGTTGAATATGCATGGCTTTTAAGAACTATAGTATTACAACAATCTTTAACAAAATAGATGCTTATCAAAAAGATTGGAAGAAAAAGTATGATATAATTGATAGACTAAATTTAATAAAATAGTTTTCATATATTGCGTCTCAGAATGACTGTTTGCTGAATAAAACGTTTTGCTATATGTGCAAAAAATATTTCACTAAAAATTACTATTGTACCGATTTTAAATCATTTTTTAATAAAATAATATCTTTTGTTATACTCATCGACGTGTAAAGCGATAGCAAACGAGATGTTCTCCATCTCGACGTTTTTGTCGCAATCTCATGAATATGTATTGTTGCTTTCGTTCGCGGCTAACAGCTTCGAATCTAGGTATATGGGACAATCCTCCGTTTGAGATAAACTGATAAACGGCTTCCTATTACGCGTGAGTTACTGCAGATTTGTACGTTTCGTTGCGGTGGCTGCGACGGTGTGAAGTTGTTTAAAGTCGGGACGAAACTTCGCCTATCTCTACGGAGGAACAATGATAATACGTTTCACATTCATTACATTGGCATCGCATTGCTCCAATAATGGAGCACAAGTATACGCGCTAAATAACTCATGTATATGACTCAGTTTCATTGCATTGACCCAGAGAGGTTTAGTCATGTAGAATGCGGTTAGAAAAAAATGTAGTTTCAGCGAGCATTATTAAGTCTCACAAACCTTGTACCTTTCAATCGAACTTGTTATTGTGAGAAAGAGCGCAAACACATTTAATTTCTATCTGCCAAATTGTAATAAAAATGTTTATTCAGTTTATTAATAACTTAATAATTAATAGTATATCAAAAAGAAAAAAACATTTTTAATTAAGTTTACTTTATCAAGTTCATAAAGTTATCTCATAAAACTAATGAAGCAATCAGTCATAGTATGTTTGCGGAATTATATCTTTTCGCGGAAAAATAAACAATCGATCTACTGCCATTACATAATTATAACTTCATGCTAGACGGTTCATGGTATTCTCATAAACTGCAAAGGCCATCGGGGCAAAGAAAACAGACGCGTGCAAGAATGTCAAAGTTTACCAGACTATACGATTAAGTTGCCATTAATTCCGGCAAGCTATAGAATAAACACGATTGAAATGCGATTCGATTCGCTGACCACGGGAATTGATTTAAATCGATCCGTGCTATTGTGCAAAACTACAATCACTCTAATCCCTGGCAACAACAACGAGGAAGACGAATTGGGGCGTGTACGCGTCGTTTAAAAGATAAAAACCGCGCGGTTCAGTCGGGCTATCGCGCACTCGTTATGTCAATTAAATGTCGATGCAATGCGCGTCCGATTGCGCGCGCCCGCGTAACGCACGATAAACGTCATTTAACTTTCCAGTCTTCGTTAATTATTACCGATAGTCGATTAATTATTATGCGCTCCCACGAAGCTTCATTAAACGTTAAATTAATTTCTATCACGATCATCTATTATAACTACTATACCGCGTTTCACGGTCCGTTACGAATACATTATTCATAGATAGCCATCTATAAACGAAGCCGATCGTCAGAAAGGTTGAATAATTCTCATCGCGAATAAATTATTTGTAAATGTGTTATTTACAGATATACTTCAAACGTTTTTGCTATTTGATGGTAGAAAGTAGACGGGTCGGGCTGACTTCGTTGTCTTTGCCGGACCTAATCCATCGACTCCGTTTCCCTTTGCGGGGACAAGTAATTTCATCTCTTCGATTGAACGACAGAAAACTTAATTACTACCGCGCGTGTCGGCGTAGCCCTGCGGGCAAAGCTAAAGTTCCGTCTCGAACTCTGACCGCCCTTGATGGGATTTCCAAAGCAAGTTACGCTTCTATTGAACCACATCATTCTCCTCTTCCACTTTGTTGAACGTCGATGATGCGTCGTGAGGCATTTGTGTATTTCCGGGTGCATTCAATTTTCAATATTGCCTTAATGCTACTTCTGCGGCCGAGTGTGTCGTACGTCTGTCATAAATTTATATATTTTTTTTAAGCTAGTGTCCATAAGGAAGAAGTATCCATTCGACTGGTAGGCGGTTAATTTCACTTTCACTCGACTGCACTTCGGTCCTTTGTCGACCCTGCTAAACGCGGAGAATGCGAAAGTGTGTGTGTCTGTCTGCCATATATACGTCGGTGTATTTGATGTCACATACGGGCGGATATGCTTAATTGAGTGAAAACATTAAGAGACGTATATTAATTATCTCTCATTAGTGATGCAGAAGTCGTTCCTGTCCTAACAATTTCTCACTCGAGGATCTTTTGATGAAATTTAACTTTTATTATCTAGTTGTAATACATGACATCGTTTTCTTGAAAAAAGGAATCATAGTGCTTCAAATCGTTTGTATTTCATGCATTATTCATTAACTTGCGGCTCTTATTCAGTTGAATAGCTATTCTTCTGCATCCGAAAAAAAAACGGATAAATAACATTCTATTTCAATAAAATTATTTTTTCTTTCTCTGTTTTTCTTCGCGCTTTCTTACATTAACTTTCTTAAATTAAATCCGAGAATCAGATTTATAACGGAAAGGAGCAATCTTGCTAATTTGAAAGTGCTTTGCAAAGCTGTTACTGTTTCTTATTTATCAGCGTCAACTTGTTTTTGCATTCCTTCGGGACTACGTTACATTCGTGACACTCATGCGGTTGCACTCTTCATTCAGATTCAAATTGCAGAGTAGGCAGTGCTCTTCATTCAAATTCTAATCCTGAGAAATGGACTACGTCAATGTGTCGTTATTATAATAAGTGTGCACTTCGCTATACAGCTGGTCTCTCGATTTCTTCATTAATCTTCCACTCATCCCGAAAGTATAATTCGAGATTGTCGACGTGTCAAGGCGACTTGGATATTCATTATCATCGTCTGCATCATTACGATGTCAGTGCAAGGTGTCCGCCTCCGTACCGAGACGCGATGAAGTGAAACGGATGCGGGACGGCCGACGTCATGCAGACGCCGGCCCACTCGTCGCCGGTTGCGTGGAAGAAATCCACGTGGAGAAAATCATATATTCGTCGTCTTCCTGATCGGAGGCTAGAAGGAGCGAATTATCGAATCCAAATATGTGCGGAGGAAAAGAGAGGCTTTAGACGCACGGAGTACACCGGTAAATCAAAGTATTCGTCCAGTACGGAGCAGGTGGGGATGAAGGCCGCTCGTGCGAACGCCTCGGCGGCACACACCTAGACCTACATAAGCACGCGGCAACGCGGCGACGACGACTTCGTGCACGTGTGGTCGGAAACCGGTAGTTGCGACGACGGCGCGCAACTTCCTCACGCTCGACATAGGCGATTCTTAGTATTACAAGCTTTGCAAGATGCGAGTGTCATTTGACGATGCGAAATTCGATAGACTGAACTGATTCTCTGACATTTATGACGTAAATTAATGGTGAATGATTGAATTAATGATAAATATCGCTGTTGCTAAGTAGCAACTTAATTTATGTTATACTTAATAGTACATTTGCATAACATCTTATAGATCATCCAATAGTGTTGATTAATTCTACAGATTCGCAGAAACACGTTTCTTCTTCGAAGAATATTTTAATATTTTACAAAGAGACAAGCGATATATCTTAGCCGTTTGTTATTTGTTTAGAAATCTCATTCGCAATCGGTTTCAGGTATCCCTGATCCAGGCAACGGACCAGAGATGTGGCCACGCACGCGGTTCTTTCTCGTAGCGTCAACGCTCGCGCTGCTGATCGACGTCTACGCTACCAGGTCGCCACAGCTCGGCGGTGCCGTGAACGTCTTCAGCCGCTACGGTTACCTGAGTATCAGTATGCGAGTGGTGCCGCGTAACGATTCGGAGACCTGGATATTCCGCGAACCCACCCTCGAGGTCTTTAAGGACGTCGGCCGAATGCCGGCCAAACAACGTCAAAGCAACAAAGCCGGCACCGCCGTCTTCGACGGCGACTTCCACATGGAGTTTTGCGACAATATCAGGCACGTAATTATGCATATAACATCTTAGTAAAAAATAAATAAAGTTAAGAAATTTATTTGTAGTGAAGTTTAGACCTAATTATCGAAATCGGAAATTTTTAATCCCCCTATAATGCTATCAATTCATGATGTAAGTAAATAACGCGATGTAAAATTTGTTAATTTTATGTAGATTAGATAAATATCCTTAATAAATCAAATAATGATAAATGCAAAAATATAATATGATATATTTTTATATTTGCAGACAGCTTCTACAAGCGTACTTTCGTGATTTTACTTTCGAGAGGCTCGAGAGACCGTGGCGCGCCTTCACTGGAAGCTGGTCTAAAGCGGCTATAGCCAGGCATCTCGGTATAAATTCGTCCTTCATCACGGGTGATCACTGTTATGTCTTAGTGCGTGTCGCCAGATTCCGTGATAATCAACGACTCGCCGGCACCGCCGAGACCCTCACCCTCGACGATTCCGTGTTGCGACAAACGGAAAACGTCACGATCGGTGATACCGCGAGCGTAGTGCGATTTATCAGAAATTTCGGCTCGCACTACATCGCTTCCTACGTTACGGGAAATTCACTCTATCAAGTAAGTTAAAGCATTAAAAACTAAGACAATAATTGTTAAATTGTAAAAATATTTTTAGCATAATAAAAAAATTGAAGTAAAAGTCTGAAAAAAACTGAAGCAATTTTATGAAAATAATAAATTTCTGCCTCTTATAGCATACTGATCCGTGATTCTGATTTATTAAATAACTGGTTTATTGTAACAATAGGAGAAAGTACGCGATTAATGAATATTTCTCATAATTAAAACTTCTTTGAATGAAAAAAATGTACTTTGCATTATGCACGCGCGGTTACGTAAAATTACAATCGATCCAATATCGCAACGATCGGAAAACGAGCATCAAAAAACGTTTCTTTGTGCATCTTCCTTAATTACGCGGTCTGTTGATCTCTGTCGCAATCGGCTTGGCGTAAAAAGGATGCAGTCTCGGTTCAGTCTCGGTTCAGTCTCGGTTAAATAAAAGTGAAACAGTGGCCTCATTTTACCATACACTCTCTCGCGTAACGGATGCGCAGCATCCTTATTTCCATTTACGCGTAAAAGCTGCACAGGAACGACTCATTATACAGAGTCTAGTTCTCACCGATAGTTTACATCACCGCGGCAATATCAGTAAAAGTGTAATTATGTAATTTTGTTTTCTGAAATACACGATGCTGCAATCTAAATATCCAGTTTGTGATCCTCATTAATTGGAAACGAATGAAATGACCCATCTCATTTTACATGTGTCAAATAGACGTCATTCAACAAACATATAACGAAATATCTAAGATATGTCTTTTTTTTTTTAGGTTTTCGTATACACTCCTCAGGTGTATTCGAGAATAAAGGAACGACTGAAAACACGTGGCGTGGCGGAACTATCGAATCTCGAGCTCAGCAACTACTTTTCGCCATGGTACGCGGAGCACATGGGTTCTATACAATCGGCAAGCGGCAACCGTAGTGTGGAAGCATGGGCTGTGCAACGTCTTCAAGTACAATATTACATCTTCACTTACGCCAGTCTACTAAAATTGCACGGCGACACGACGTTGCTCAAGCAACTGGACGGTCTATTGGGAGACGAAGCGCTACTGCAATTGCAATTGCGAACATTGGCGCCCGCTTTCAAGGATCCGAAGAGACGCGAGTGGTTTTTGGAAGTGATCGATAATTATTTCAAACTCTGGGAGGTCAATATGTGATGACATAACACGTGCCTGTCACGGGTGAACTCAAAACGTTTAGAATACCGTCACACATTTGCGCTTAAAATCGACAAACGATCGCATGTGTGAGATTGGCGCAAGAATGCGAGTGATACTGATAATTCTGGCGCGATATGGGATGCGCAGTGCCTTTGAAAATGATTGAAATAGATTTAGCGTCCGTCACAATTCCTCGACGCTAATTATATAGGTTCCTGTTGAACAGAATTGAAGGACATATCCTTCTGCCACATATATTGCAATAACGTAAACATGCGCAAACATGCTGTTATTGTTATAAATAAGTATTTATTCTTGTAATCATTAATAGAAAACGTCTTTATACGAATGTTTTTAATATATGACGAGCATTATTCATACAATTTTTGACTGAAGAACTTGGTGTAATGTACCATAAGTTCTTTACTTGAAATCGACTCGTTATCGTACAAAGGGTATATTTTAGGTGCAAAAGAGATTTGTGAGGTTTCTTTGTTTAACCCGATGTGCATTGTTGTATATGCAGTGAAATCAGGTCAATGGATTGTTATCCTGCTTTAGATATGATTTATATCTTCCTATAGTTAATGTATCTTATATTAAATCTTATTTGTTTTATAAATCGGAGAATGTCTTTACATTTTTAGATAAATTGTTTTCGAGGGACGATATATTCGCAGATAAATTTCTACTGCGAATGTGGATTAATATTATAAAACGTATATATTATATAACAAATTGTAAAACAGTGAATATTAGTTGTAAAACAGTGAATTTGAAAAGATCACGATCATATATAGTATGATTCATCGTGTGATCTCACACGATGAAAAAAGATTAGTGTATAACATTTAAAACTTATTAATATATTTTATACCTGGGTAAAAAATATATTTTCTCTGCTTTAATAATTTCGGAGACAATATAATGCCTTTATACAACACAATAAATGAGATGCAAAGTCGAAAATAATATAAAATGCCATATTATTAATGTATAAATTTAGTACATCATTGTTTGAAGCGGACAAACAAAGTGCACTTTTGATATGCGATATATCTTGCTCTGCCTTAATATTTTCATTTATAGGTAATTGAAACAAACAGCATGAATAAGGACTCAACGAAAATAATGACAATACAAGAAACAAATGACATTATACAAGTACATTATTAATATAAAAAAATTGCATATGATTACAGACGAATTTTCATATTTTTTTCTTGCATTTTTGATATTTCATATTTTTTTTCATTTTATTACTTCATCAATCATATGATAATATTAGAATAAGAAAGCGATTGAAAGACAAATAATATCTGTTTATGTAAAAAAGGAAACATTAGAAGAAAAAATATTAAAATTTGACTGTAATTATGATTGTGTATGTATGTGTTATCATACAAATTATGTATATATTTAAATAATAAAAAAGTGATAGACTCACCAATTAAGAGATTGCAGTTTGCTCCACTTGTTGCAAATTCCTCCTTAGACTGCCTTGTGTCAGTAGAGATCGATGAGACGCATATTTCCGCATTTATATACAAATGTCAGTCCGCATATTTTATACGTCGGGATACGCGAAATGCAAACGTAAGATGAAATGTACTTTGTACCGTAATTATGAGTTATATAAAATGTGTCAAATCAATCTGCATCATTTGTTAATAGCAAATACCTGAGGTTGTTTGGAGATGAAAGTCTTTATACCAAAATGTCGAGACTATAATAGTTTTTAAATGTAAAGTGTTTAAAGTTTTCTCTCGTCAATGTTTAGTATTATTAATTCAACGGTAGCGATATTTTCGAGTGCTCACAGCGTTGTTGACGAGTAAATGGCCAGAGAAATACTTGGAATTTAATTAAGCGAGAAACATAAATATGATATGATTCAGTAAACAGCCATTTATTTACTGTGTTAAATCGAATTTATTTCCACTCAAGCACATAAATTTTTATATCCTTATATGAGAAATCTCAGAAATCTGCTATTAACGCGGTGATATGATTGGTCTGAGACACCTTGTATATCTTATATTATTTTTCAATCTATTGTCTAAATGATATTAAATTAAACAAATTGAATTAACTTATAATGCTGCACATCGTGCAGATAAGTCAATCCAATTAATTTTATTTTAATATCATTGAGAGAATAGATTTCAAAATATTGTATAATATATAAAATATTGCTATCATTTGTTAATAGAAGATTTTTGAGATTTCTTATATGGTAAGGATATAAAAATATGTGCGACGTGCCTAAGTGCGTGATTTTTGATTAATTGATTAAATTTTAAAACACTCTTTATTTATAAACTATTGTAGCTTTGACATTTTGGTGTAAAGATTTTCGTCTTCAAATGAATTTGTTATTAACAGTGATATAGTTGGTTTAATCCATTCTGTATATTGAGCAACAGATATTGTTCGAGAAATTATAAAAGTTATAATAGACTTATAATGAAAAATGTATTGTACCGATACTTTTAAATTACTGTGCAAAAGGGACTCTTTTTGTGCGTATTGTATTAAAAGATCTATAAATTTAACGATATCTGACAAAAAACAAGAAAACCATTCGATGAAACATACGCCATAATTTAATTATAAGCAATTGTATCAATTACTTTTTCATTGTACCAATGAAATGCGCATATAACTTTAACAATTTGTTCCAAAACCATACTTTGACTTGCTCTTTTGTAAAAACGATTAAATTTATTAAGAAATTAAGTGAAAAACATTAAAATTATATTAAATATGATATCTTACAAGATTTATAATTTTATTTTCTACATTTAGATTTTTATACTTTCTTATATTTTTATATTTCTTCATAAAAAATTTTTTTTCTATATATATTTATATAATTTTCAAAATTCTATAACAATTTAAGTAAATTTTACAGTTTATAAATAATAGATTGCATACTTTGTATAAAATTTCAAATTTTCTATTGTTAAATTAATTTTGTATTTTATTATTTATTTGTAAAAAATGCAAATCACAGATAAGAGTATAATTGTCAAAGTATTTTTCTTAGCAAAGTATGATTCTTAGCAATTATATAATAAATATTAGTGAATAATGAGAGACTACAAATATCATCGTCATTTTAATACATATTATCATGCAAGTATAATAAATAAATTCACTCACCGGTTGTTGTACCCTAACCTAAGTACGCTCTTTTAGCTGTACCTGGAAAATAAATATTTTAATATTAATAAATATTTTAATTATATAAATTATATTACTATATGAATTATATATATTATATATATATAAATATTAATTATTATCTATATATTATTTAATTATTTTTATTTTGATGGAAACATTAAAATTATATGCAATTGCATAAATAATTCAAATAATAATAAAATAATTTCAAAATTTTAATAATTAGAAAATGTTTTAACAAATCTTTTAATAAATAGTTCATGAAATAAATATTTAACATATACAAAATATAATTGTGTATGTATGTGTTATTATGTTTTATCACTTGTAGGATAAATAAATAATAAATAGGTTTAAATAATGAACAAAGAATTGTGCTCACCTGTTAGAATATTGTAGTTTACCCCACCTGCTGCAGATTCCGTTCTCAACATCGTCAAGTTACCAGACAATTAGCTTCATTGATTGATGAATATTCACTTAATTACATATATCACTGAATGAAAATTAACCCGCGCATTTTTTTTCTACGAATCACAAAGATTTACATCGCGAACTATTACGTTTCGATACACTAAACACAAACGCGAGATAAAATACACACTATATCGCAACGTATCTGCGTGCATATTGAATATTATCAGTTTACACATTAAGCAATTCGCGATGTACTCAGAACGAGACGACTATTTTGATGACAACTTGTAGATACGAACATGATACGCAACTATGATTTATCTAATTCCAATTGAATTGCAACATGCCATATCTAAAATCATAAAACATATACTGCGCTTAGAATCTCTTAAGCAAATAGAAGAATTATTTTGCGTATTTATAGTAAATGCTTATTAAAATATACATACTCACTGGAATTGTAACCTATTTGAATGGATCGGCCGCCAAACGAGATCAACGCCGTTATCGCACATATCCACGGTAAATAATACGTTCCGGCAATCCCCCCCTTACTTTAATCGACACTCCCGATAAAAATTTACAGTAATTATGATCTTTAGTGCGTGATTATTACGGATAAAATGTTTGATTAAACAACTTACGTTCTGCAAAGTGTTCGCGCTCTCCGGAAAAGAAACGGAAAGGGCGCCATAGTAGCCAGTAGAGCGCGCAATAACCGGTAGAGTGCTCTACCGTCTATGTCACGTAATGCTATCCCGCCATTTTGTGTTACTTCCTGTTCTCTTCCACAAGCGCGCGAACGCTGTACGAGACGTGAGTTATTTAATCGAACATTTTATTTGTAATAATCGCGTAGTAAAAGTTTATAATTGTTACAAATTTTTGTCGGAAATATCGATTAAAGTGATAGACTATTGCCGGATCGTATGATATATTGCGGGTGTTCGCAGTTAACAGCGTATACAGCATCGAGTAGATCGCTGCGTTGTAAGATATTACTTTTTTAATCAATTTCAATTATTTGTATTTTTTATCTTACCTTTTGCATAACACGACGAATTTGCGACTCACATTTTGATTTTTGAAAATAAAATAAGCCGATACTTTGTTCAGTATTTTCTATAGTATTGTAGTACAGAATTCTAATATTTATTGATTTTACAGTAAAATTGATTTTGCAACAAGGTTGGAAGCAGCTAATGTAAAATCTGCAACAAATGAAGCAATTATTCTGGTGAGTATAATTTGTTGACTTTGTTTAATATTAAATATAGTATCTAATTAAATATGGTATATAATATTAAATATTAATATTAAGTATAGTATAACATATGAGATTCTAATATTCATGGATTCTTTGGTAGGTGTGGTTCTGCAATAAAGCTATGAGCAGTCTAATTGAATCTGCAATAAGTGAAACAAACTGCAACACTCTGGTGAGTACAATTTGTTCATTATTTAAATATCTATTTAATATTACAATATAGTAGACACATAAACATGTGTAAAATAGAATTGTGCATATATATACAATTAAAATTCAGTCAAATATAGAATTTTCTGTTTTTTTACTTGCTTTTTTATTACAACACTATTACAAAGGTAGGAAAATATAAAAAGATAGCCGAACAGGAAAAGTAAAAAGAAAGAAAAATTAAAAGTTTCATTGTATGGTGGCTGTAATAAAAATATTTTTGTATTTTGCATTTTTTTATTTTTTTTATACAATTCAATTATGTTACATGACGATTTATAAAACACTTAACAGTACGATTTAAAATGTATTACATAAATAATAAACTATTACAATATTTTTACTTTCCATGAACTTACATAGAAAATATAGGCAGTCTCTAAATTAGCAAATATGCTGATTGTTATTTATGCAAAATGTGCACATGAATTATTATACACAATATGATTCTTATAAAATATATAACATAATATATATATTCTAGATTAGTTTTGATTGTTGCCAATATAATATTTTGAAATGTATAAATTCATATGTCGCAGCATATTTAACAACTTAAGTATACTGATAAAATTTTTTCCATTATAATCTTCATTATTACTAAAGGTCAAGAACGGTAGACATACAATAGAATATTATAATCAATGATTGAATTATGTGCTTCGATATTCACTCAATATTTTTTATTACTTAATCTGTTTTTCTAAAAGTTTTCAAACTTGCGCTGGCTTGTTGTTCTCGGCCTAGCTTTTTTCCATTAATTACAAGTACAAGTGGAGTCTCAACACGAATAGATTTATAATCAAAATCCTAGAAAAGAATAAAGAAAAATTATATTTCCTTATATTATAAGGAAATTATATTATAAGATACACAAAAATACTACCAACATTATTCATATAAGAGAATTTTTGATGTATAACGAAAGGCTCTGGTATTCCAACAGAATCCCCGACTGTAACTCCTCGGCCTTTAGCTAGATTGTATACAGTAACAACAATACATGTCTTCTGTTCATCCACGAGACAAAAAGCACTAAATAGAAAAGAATAATTATATATTTTAATAGATAAAAAAGGGCAAAAAGTAATTAGTTATCTTATCAGACCATAAATACTTACAATGGGACGCAATCGGAATCTTGTATCCAGCAAACTACTTTTCCAAATACAACTTTCTCTGTATTTAATCCGAGAGCTAACTTTTCCAATGGAATTAGATCCAATTTTATAGATTTTGTTCCAGATGTATATGAACCATCTTTATATGGTCCTAAGTGTTTAATATCCAATGCCTACAGTTAATCATAAACCTATAAATATGTTTATTATGCCAAAATCATATATTATAATTATTAACACTTTTATTTTATCCCTGATTACTATATATAGATATTAATTTTTATCACATAAATACCTGTATCATTCGGTGCAGTCGTTTTGGTTTTATGTATCCATTATTATTAATTGAATTTTGTATATTTTTAAGATATTCTAGTAATTCGTCTCGTTTGTTGCACGGTGTTTCCCATAGTGGATCTAGTGCCACTGCGTTTTTGAAGGATTGTAATGCTAAATCATATTCTTCTTGATATTTTAAAGCCTAAAACAAATACGTATATTTAAAACAATATTGAAGTGCCCTATTAGAAAGTTTTTCAAAATAAAAATTTTAAAAATTATTGATACGTACTATTGCCTTATTATAAAATAGGTCAGGATAGCTTCTTGCAATAATATCTTTTTCCTATAAAAAAGTATTAGACTTTAACTTATGAACAATAATATCTATGCATTCTATATGTCTACACAAGTGATATAGAAAGTAAAAATATTATTCATAATTAATTTACCGCTTGCATATAAGCTGACATGCATAGACGTAAGGTAGTTGGACTTTGTGCTTCTGTAAAGAAGGAAGACAAATAGGCATTTCCTAATATGGCCCAGGAGATACCGTCGGTTGTGTCAAATTTTACTGCTTCTTTAGCATATTCCACTCCTTCTTGAATATTTTTTATTCGCTGTTCAACAGTTGAAGTTTGTTCTTGTCTAAGTACCATTGACAAATTCCGTAAAGATACTTTATTTCTATCCTGTAAAAGAAATAAAATATATTATAATTAATTCTTAATTTAATCAAAGATCTTGTTTGAACAGAGAATGAAAAAGATGTACATGTTGCAGAGCACCAACAAAACAATTTTTTGCTTGTTTTATATCATTATTTTTCCAATAACATTCTCCTAATTCATTCCATGCTTCTATTAATTTAGGCTCTAATTTCACAGCTTTACTTAGCAGTTCCTCTGCCTGTGGAATAAAACGATCCACAACATTTAGAGCCCTTCCCTTTAAATAATAATATTTCGCACGCGATCCATCAATTTCATATCCTTTACACTCGTCAAACTTGCTCAGTGTATCTTTCATCTCCTTCTCAACATCAGTATTCTTTTTTATTGCTTCATCGATAGAATGTGTTTCAAAGTAGCGATCTCGAAAGAGATATAGAGTTTTTACTCTCTCCTGTAATTAATAACCAATAGAGAACAATAAGAATAATATATATTGTTTTAAATTAAATAGATGAAATATATTATATTTAATTCTTAAACTAATCAAAGATTTTTTAAACAGAAAATGAAAAAGATATACATGTTACAAAATATCAATAAAATAACTTTTTGTTTGTTTTATATTATATCTTGAAGCGAGAAACCATACATAGAAAAAAATATAATATATTTTACATACCGTTAACGCTACAATTGGATCTTCTTTAACAGTATTTGAATTCTTTGCACCTGCGACAACCTTATCATCTATGATTGCAGACATTCTTCACTGAATTATTATAATGTGCAATAAATGAACATTATTTCAATGTGCGTCAAATGCTTTTCAGACGGCAGAAAATTTTATTCATGATCAATTACGGTCGTACGAGCTCGCCCGCAACATGAGATTTATCATTTGCGAACTATCAAAACAAAAGCTATAAACGAGCATGAAGGTTATGTGTCATACTACCCTAGTCATACTTGAGTATATGTAAACGTAAAGGCACTTTTTCACACTGACGCTCGACACTCAATTTCAGCGTTAGAAGACATCACGTGACTAAGAGTAACCAACCGTTGCAGCAGTTTTTGGTCACATGATGTTTTCTAATGCTGTAATTGAGCGTTGAGCGTCAGTATGAAAAGACACCTTAAGGTTAACGGTTAACTCCTTTTCCGCAATACTAGCGCCGCTTGTGGTGGCTATTTTAAATTGAACGGTTCCATTTGCAATTCGGACCGAGTATTGTGTCGCAAGTGAATTAAGAATATATACCAAAAATTGAGATCAAAAATAAGTTTTACACATATTGGTAATTGCAATTCCAATCAATTTTTCTTTCTCCATTACTTGAAAATGGAGTAAGTCCAATTTTATACCGAATCTCAGAGAATCGCGGATAAATTGCATCAAATTGAGTAAAATTTTCGAAAGATTCGCGTTCACATTATTTAAAGTAGAAACTATTTAGATTAAAACTAAGAAACATATAAACTAAAAACGTTTGTTGATGTATTTCTGTCGATATTTGTAGCATTTTGTATATTTGCTTTCATATTGGCTTTTATAACATTTTTCATCATATATATTTCTTTACAGGTAGCTCTCCCTTCTCCCCTTCTCATCCTCTCTCTCTTTCTCTGCTGGTTTGCAACAGATATTGGTCGTTTACAGTAGCAGTTTACAGTAGCAGTTTACAGTAGCTACAAAACTTTGACAACACCGGCAACGGTGAGTGCTATTATATTAATATTTTTAATTATAAAAGGTTCAGGCAACAGTCTTTCCATAAATTGTAACTATATTTATAAAATATTCATATCTTCCTTTTTTGGAAGAACAGAGGAACTTTATTTTAGACAAATACAAAATAATTTAACATAAATTAGTAAAAGATTACAAAATCTTGCAATATATAATGAGAAAATTAATAATCAATGCAAGTTTATTCCATATATGATTGCTGATTAAATTGATTAAATCAGCGTATAGGGACAGATTTTATATCATAAAAAAAGCATATAAAAATATTATATATTTATAAATTTTGTATGGACATTTCTTAAATGTAAATATTTGATTAAGTCACTCATTGCATCAATCTGCCAGATACAAGTATAGCAATCTTATTTTTAAAACAATAATATAAACAGTTTTTGTTCTGTTATAACGTAGATTTTTCAGTCAAAATTATTGAAGTTATAAATATTTTGTTATTGTGCAATGATAATTGAAAATAGCTCCATAGAAAAATGTTGCAAGTTATTACTCAAAATTTACAATAATGAGAATATTAATCAGTTGACAAAATAACACAATTGAAAAAATGATATAATACATTGAATAAATTATTAAAATATATAAGAATTTTCTATCATGTTATCATTATAAATATTTTTTTTCTAAAATACAGTAGTTGATAAATGTCTATTTGGCCTGTGCAACATTTTTCAATTAATATTTTTATTTTACAAAGCAGATTGATGCAAATAATTGAAGGTAAGTGATGGATTACAGTTACACCTCAATACAAAATATACACATATACGTGATAGTACAAAGTTACAAATATAATCTCGAAATATCACTTCTGTCATACACTTTTCTATTTTTTCATTGTCACACGTTAAATGTAAAACTTTAAATTGTGCTCTTATATTAATTTATATAATATACACAAGATGGGACGGATATATCCGTTACAAAAAATCGTTTCAAAATACTTATGCACTCTGCTCTTCTCAGCTCTTTACTTTATTCAGTAAAGGTATAACGTCTATTGTGACGAACATGTCGCCGTCGTTTGCACATGGCGCAACACTGTTTTCGTAGATCACATATATGTTTATGGTTTGCACATGATGAAGCTGTGTTATTCTTGCAATCTGAAAAATATAAAATTATATATGAAAATATATACGCACTAAAATTCTAACAAATAAATCTAATAGATGAAATTTCAAAAAAATTTAATAACTAATAAATTTTTATTTATTAGTTATTATAAGCAAAGTTAAATATTATTTCTTATTTTTTATTGCACATTATGGACATATAATTAATACAATAAGTGACAATAAAAATTTAATCGATTAAGACACGCATAAAAATTTGTCAAGCCAATTCTATAGTTTATTAGGCTGTATTGCACATACTACTGATATTTGTTGTTACGTATTAAGCTTTATAATAATTATTCGTAACATATTATATGTAAATGTCCGCACGTTAAATGTATCATGTGCGCATACAAATCGAGTGACGTTGCGTATGATCTCATAAACCAAACCGTTACAAGCCGCGGTTTCCTCATATAAATTCTAGTTTCCCGACGGTTTTGGACAAGGGCATATTCCGCAACTTTGGACAAGCCAAACGTTCTGTAACGTAACTAGCATAACTTAGCATTACATACGGCTACGCGTTCTAATTCTCTCGACTCCGTTACAACTGTGTTAGATTGTCCCAAACTTCTATTCAACATCAATTACTGTGGCACGACAAATGTGAGCTTAACTTTTAAATATTACACATGAAGAGTTGCACCATTGATACTAATTTTGCACGGCGATAACGTAACTTCTCGCGTAAACGCCTGAAAATAAGGTTGCAATTGTTTTTTTTATTTATTCTTAGAAAATCTCTTGCTAATATATTGGAAACATTTTGTTTCTGCAAACAAACTTTAAAAGATACAACTTTTGCATTAAAAAAATTGATAATATTTCATACAAAATACATGAAACAATTTTAAAGGGTGCAATTTAACTGTGCAAATGCAATTACCATTTTTCTCGTTGGCGCATTGCCGTCGGTAATAACAGCGTTTCGTGTCAAACGGTCTTCTGTCGAGATTACAATCGTCGGACAGCAAGTCTGTCTGGCGATCACGACATTGCACTTCTCTATGTTTAACTCCAAGCTTTATGAGACAAGTCGCGTTGCAACTTCCCCACTTTCCTGGAATCATAATTAATAAACACCGGCACGTAAAGTCTTTGTAAATACCTTGGCGGAATTCGCAGCGTTTAGTAAATGAACAGTTCATAATTTATAACAGTTATTCATCTTTTATTATTGTTCACAATATCACTGGCCTTCGTCGCTATGTTTTTCAACAAGTATTTAACAGAATATAAAATTCTTCAAGTATTCCATTATTTTTCTGTCAAATTCTAGTTAAGTAAAACATTTTTTTAACGAGGAGAAATTTTAATTATGAATATTAAGAAAAAGGAATACTACAGTGCATAAAGTATACTGGAGTACATGAAGTATCGATCGATTGCTTACCAGAGATCCACTTTCCACTATAACAGTCCTCGATGCTAGGCGGCTTGTTATCCGGATTACAATCACCCGGAATGGAACAGGTGACCTTCCTACTCCTCTTGCCATTCGAACAGTGACTCCACTTCGATACTGTCCATTTCGACTTGGTGTTGTACATAGAATTGTCCGGGTTTTCGTCGACGACATTATCAAACTCGAGAATCTCCGGTTCTTCGGTGGTGAGACCATCGACTATCGTCATGTCCTGCTCGTTGAGGCTGATGTTGTAGAACGACATGTCTTTGTTGTCGGCGTACACGATCAACGGCACTTCCGAGGTGGGTCCGCATGGCGGTAGATCGGGGCATGGTTCCAATTCTTCGGGCCGCATGTTTTTGTCGCAGTCGCGATCGGGTAGAGCCAAGTCTGATCGATCGGTACCCGCGCCGGAAAACACACACATCACCGATCTCTTGCGCAATGCACCGTCGCCGCATGTAACGGGGCACATCTGCCATGGGCCTACCCACCACCTAAAACGTTGAATGAGTTTGTAAGATGCTCTTATTTTCTAAATGACACATCGGACATTTTCTGGATTGTTAAATAATCTTTGGAAATTAAGATTTTTTACACGATTAAGATTTTTCATGTGAATAATATGTATGATTATTTCTAATATTTGTATAAAAATTAAATCCTTATTAATCAATTATTTTATAAAGTTTAGGAAGACTTTATAAAAGTCTGGGTATATAAAGTCTGTCTAAACTTTATAAAATAATTGATTAATAAGGATTTAATTTTTATACAAATATTACAAATAATCACACATATTATTCACATGAAAATCTTAATCATGATAAAAATAATCAAAAGTTTGACATTCTTTTTATTCTTCGAATTGTTCGATTAGTTCGGATATACAAAATATTTTAATCCTTTGAGCCCTAGTTTTGTTCAACCGTTTCGAATTTATTTGCGTGCGAGAGAACGGTATTCCTCGAAGTTCATTGTTACAATCGTTTTATCGAATTTCGAAGTTAGCTCACCTCGCAGGGCACGGATTCGAATTGCATTCGCGTACTTTTGGCTCGGGTTTCTCTATACCGTCGCAGAAGTGGTCCTCGACGATGCCACTTTTTCTTTCATGACAAACAGCGTGCGAAGTTTGAGTGCCGCCGCCGCAAGTAACTGTGCAGAGTGTCCAATCGGAAGACACCCACGAATATTCTGGAGCTCGATCAGGTTCCTTTTTCGGCACCGTGTATTCGTAACGTAGTCCAAAATTGCGATAGTGACCTCTATAAATTAACTGAAATGATAGAATTAAATTAATGACAATTAAAATTAAAAAACACAAAATTTTTAATTTAGAAATAAAAAATTTGATTATATATTAAAGAAAATATTTTTAATTTATTCAAATTCACGGAAAAAGATAGCAATTGTAGCTTTAGAAAGTTTGCATAAATAAATATAATGTTAATTTTTTAATTCTTAAACAATTATATTATATTATGTTTTGCATATGATTTATAGAATAGTAATGATAATGATAGAATAGCTAGAATGTACTCACATAGACCACGATGTCTTCCTTGATAGGACCTGGTATTCTGATTTTCTCTTTTTCTCGATCACGTTCGTATAAAGCTGGCGTTCCGGCGACTTCGTACTCGCCCGCTAAAGTGATCTGCCTGCCTGATCAGAATCTCAGTTTAAGACTTTAGTTGTGTTAATATTATGAAAGTTTCTTCCATCAAAGTGTAATATCTTCAAACTATACGATGAAGCGAGTACTGTCTCATAAAAATACACATACAACTCGAGTGATCGTACCGGTAAAAGTGATAAAATCGTGGATTATAGCCGCATTAGCTTTACTATCTCTAACTATATTTAACTTTCGCGCAGCTGCTTACGTTGTCGATATTTTGCGATTTGAGCTATACGCACCGTTTTCCATTCAAGAAGTACTTGTCGGACTTTGGTATACCGATGCCGATGTAATTCTTGCTGTTACCGATCTCTTCGATCTTAATGTTTCGCGAGCCAGATGGAATAATAATAACTTCTTTATATCCGGGACCATCATTTTTGTCATAAACGCCGCTGGTGGTTTCACATTGAGTACCATCGCCGTGACAAATACCGCAGCGATCTTCCGTAGCATCGGAATCCACCGCCCAATCGCAGCCAACTTTCTAAAAATTATAATTATTTAATACTGAAAATATTTTTTTATATATAAAATTAAAATTTAGGAAAATATTTTAAATTCTTTTTTGGAGAAAAGATTTGTCTGATAAAGTACACTGACCCTGCATATGCCGGCAATGCACATGTCTCTGGTACCAACGTTGCATGGGGTACCATCGAGAGCAGCTTCTCCCCAAGGTACGATTACGCTTTCCTCCGTATCGGTGCAATAAAGTTCGCAAGGCTCCGCTAAATGAGACGATGCAAATTAAATTTCGCGTCATAATTAATGCTTAAACCATTGCACTGATCGTATGTTTCTACCTGCTTGCTCGTCTCTCAATTTGTAACAGAAATCGAATAATTCGATAATTACATTTTACATTACCACGTACAGTTTCGATTTCTCGTTCTTGCATGCCTGTAAATAACGTACGCAATTTGGAAAACTATAAAGTTACGGGAACTGCATGCGCGATCGCGGAAAAGAGCTCCGTGCGTCAAGAGAAGCGTGTACGGAAGTTTACTCACTTTGGTCGAAATACGGCAGCCAGGTATAGTTCTTTCCCTTATATTCTGTGCCGTCGTAGTCGCTGCATTGCAGCGCGCGGAAACTCGGCGCGCCTTCCGGGCAAGGCTGCGTGTTGCAAATTTTGTAGCGGCGTCTCTCGCCTATGCAGAACTTTCCGCCATGCGCGGGCTCCGGATGGTCGCATTTCCTCTCGACTATTGAAACCCCGGCGCCGCAAGTCCTCGAGCACTCGCTCCACGAACCCCACTCGCCCCAACCGCCGTCGATATGCCGCGGCCGATCGACGATAGGTACGCATTCTTGATTTTGACACCACTGCAAAGAGAGCGATGTGTAAAGATGTATTTTATAGAAAGTTTAAATTTACCAAACTTATATCCGAAATAAACAGCGGTTAATTAATTATGTGACAAATATTTTATGAAAAAGTTCATTCGTTGAGACTCTTTTTTTATTGTACCATGTGTTTTCCACAATGTGTTCCCGGAGCTGCAGGATGCATCATACTGGTGCAGCTGCCGTCTACGAAGCACCATAGTTTCGAGCAGATCTAAAATCATAAGTATCGCAATCATTTAAATCGGGTTAGTCCTAGCTAGATTCATATCGGCCATTTACCATTGATGGTCTTTGTTTACCTCGTGCAATGAAGCAGAAGTCAAACAGACAGAAGCTTCCCTTACACCGAATTGTAGCCTGCATTGGTGCTCGGCGTCATACATTGCACCGGGTGGTAAATCCGGATATGCGTAACTATTGTCCGCCGGTTCGTCTTCTAAACAATCGCCTTTCCCTTGGCTAGAATTCGCGAATTTACGTTATATTTTATCTTTTTTTTATACGTAAAAAACGGAAGTTGCATTATTTTAAATTGACTAAATTTATTAAATATCTTTTATTTACTCTAAAAAGTTCGTGATGTCTCTCCTGGAGCATCTCGACCAAGCCACTCCAACAGCGTCCACTTCAAACGTTGGCGTCATCACGTGTAATGTGTCACCTTCGCGCTTACTGCAGCCTATTTTTTCCGTGTCGTGATACATTCCGAAACTGAACAAAACGCACAGTAGAAATATTTAAAATTAATACACGTAGATGTTTATTTGAAATTCTAATTAAATTTCGAATATTTAATTCGAATATCTAATTTCATTCGAAATATCTCATTTGATATTTTACATTATAAAATTTCGATCTTCTTCTTTCGATATCGCGATACAATTTTTCGCTTACTTATGTCCCAATTCGTGTGTGATCGTGTGTGCCAACGTGATTCCATTGTCCTCGTTGACACTGCAGCTACGATCCGGTTGGCACATACCGGCGACATGCGCCACTCCCAAGGTGCTGCATGGAGTATTCGCGCGCGAACAAATGTCCTTCCTCGTCACCAGGATCGCTACGTCGTGGTGATTCGGGTGCGAGTCGTCGCTCGGATTTAGCTTCTGTTGCCATTTGCAGAAATTGTATAGGGTTCTGTCTGCGTTTACCGTGATGTTCAGCCCTTGCTGGGACAGAAACGGGATTGATCTCGAGTAATCGCTCGATCTGCGCTTGAGTACGCAAGCACGTACGTATACGTGACGTTGCGCGTTTATCGCGGAATTGATCTAAAAGCGACTTTAAGCGTTTGACGTAGATACCTCTGCGTCTTCTTCTTCGACGAGAATAATGCGGACCACGACGATGTTGATGAAATTGCCGATGGTGGGGTCGAGGTAGAGCGCGGATACCATGTTCATGATAGTTAAGAGATAGGTTTCTACATCGCCGTCCTGATGAAAAGCCATCATCGTCGTGTCAGCGACGATGAGAGCCTCGACATGACGCGGTGTACTGATCGATCTCTTGGAACGATGCCACCGTTTCGTCTGATGATGTTTCCTTCGTCCACGGCCTTGAACTTGTACGAGGCCCGGTTGAGTTTGCCATTCGAGCCGCGTCTCTGTCAATCGACGCGGTTCTGTCGGATATTTCGCGTGCTGTCATGATCAATATAATAGCTAATTTCTCTTTTAATTTGCGCTCTTTTTTATCCGTCAGTTTTTATTCGTCGACCGAACAATTTTAAAGGTTGCTAAAAATATGCAAAAATATATACACGTAATCCTTGTCAGTTGATCGAACTAAAATGTAGCTTTCACACCGCTTTAACGCCACAACTGATTTATGCAGATTGGCAGATCACTGGTCTGCAATTAAGATTTTATTTGGTCCGCCCGATTAATCGACCGCTATGCCGAAATAGATACTTATTGTAGTTAATTACGGGTTTGCAGCGAATTGGATTATCTTCTCGTGGGTAGCGCGCGCTTCGCCCTATAAAGGAATGTATCAACCGAGCGATCTCGCTTCTCTATATGCTGTGGGTAGCGCGCCCGTGCACATTTAATCCGTTGAAATGTGGGGTCGTCAGGACGGGCGGTTAGGTCGCGCCTTGAAGTTGTGCCAAAGACTATATACGAGCCGGTAATTTTGGGATTCGTACGGCGAGCAAATTAATTAAGTTTAACTCCGATTAGATTGATTAACTCGGGGCGCGCGGCATCGTTCGAATTACGACGTGAAGACCGGTTATCGAAGCTTCCGAGCAAATATTGCATCCACACACGAAATCTTTATAGCGTGTCGAGTTATGAAGCAATTATCGCGGTCGAACGGTGCTGGAAACGTTTGTCGGAATTGTTGCGATCCTGTTACCACTATGTGCTTGAATATTCGCTTCAGTATTCCCGCGCGAGACTATACGCTCCCACACCCTTTCTCCCGCCTACCCTGCCTTCCTCCCCGCTCGGATATTATCGTCGGCGAAAAATAAAGAACAGACAAGGCGTCGATGACACGCCCACGTTCTTGTACCATGGCGCGTCCAATTACATTATACGTGCAGACACATAAATACATGCGATACATATTACAAGAGAGGGCGAGAGCAAGAGATGTGGGACGACGGTGTGTACGGGGGAGGGGAGGAAAACGCGCGGGTGTAGGGCGTGCGGGCGAAAGGCGAAAGAGGAAGAAGAAGAAGAAGGTGTCGGGGTCTGTTCTCACCGCGGGTGCCGCAATTTCTCTCCTGCTTCCTCTTCTTTTTGCGCCGTCGCCTGCTACGACCGCCGCCGGCGACGATCTCGAGCTGCTGTTGCTGCTGCTGTTGCTCGGCCGAGCGCCGGAAGATGAGATGGGGCCGGCCCGCTGCCGGGACCCCGTGAATCGACGAGCGGGCACCGGCGCCTACTAAGTCGTTGGTCGTCGCTTCGTCGACAGACGACGTGCCGCGTTTTTCTTCTAGAGACACGGCGACTGGTTCCAGCCAGAACTCGCCGTGGTCGCCGCGCAGCATACCCGCCTGAAACACAAAACCGGGTTTCGTGTTACCCAGACACACAGAGACTGTATATCGCGGCGAGACGTCTCTCCCGACGATGCCGAATAAGAATGAGCCGTTTAGGTTGAAAGTAGCGCGTACATCATCTTGAAGAGCCTGTTAACCCTTCGCGAGTAAACGGCGAGACCGCCGTATTTTTAAGCTTCACGCCTGTTATTTCGTGGTTTTCTTCGAAAATTAGCTTTGCATAATAAATCATGCGTTTAGCGTCAAAACTTTATATAAGTACATACTGAAAAACTTTACGTAACACTAATCGCTATATTTTCATCATTTTCCGCGGCGCGCAAAATTATTGCAACGTATAAAGCAGCGTGTATTTTGGAGCATTTGCGTCATCGGCAACGTCAACAGATCTCTACGTCTAATTTAGCGTGTGGTCACGTTTCACATCTCTGATTAGAGCGGAATTAATCGCGATCTTCAGCGTGGGAGGAATGGCGGGCGCGAGAAATGGCAGACACGCGAGGGCGTACCTTTTCGCAATTTTGCGCAAACACTGACGATCGTGACTATGCGCGGAAATATTAATACATTACTCGAGATTATAAGTTACGAAGATAAAGCGCGCGGGACTGGACTGGAAGCCGTGCGTAGTCAGCGAGAGGTATATCAGCACGGTATTAATATTATATAAGTATGTTCACCTTAAGTACTTGGAAATTGAGTTTCCACCGAGTTGGTTTATATTAGCCGAGTATTACTTAGTTCCTGTAAGCACTCCAACGTGGAAAGGACACCGCTCGATATTGCACGGTATGCGCGAAAACAGAAGGGGGGGAGGGACGTTAATGTAAAATGTATTGGAACTTGCCGTTCATTATTTCAGCCATCAATCGCTATCTGACAGGAAACGGCGAGACCCTGTCAGTGACCACGAGTGATTAATGCCGCGGAGCGTAGCCGCGGGCGTGCTAATCTGCAGCATGATCAACATTGGTTTGCGTTATTCTATTTCTTGTTTCGAAGGTGTTAGAACTCGGACCTCCGACGGTGCGTTAGGCGTCATGGAACAAGTATCCCGAAAGTCCGCGCAATCGGTGTAAAAAGAGGACGGCAGAACGGTTTTGAAGGCGAGGAAAGCGAATTTAGAATCGGGGCGGGGTGACGTTTACTTATCACGGCTAGTTCTCGAAGTAAAACAAAGTTTTACGCGAATCAGAGAAGAGACATAGCGAATTTAAATATAAATTTCGATTGTCCTTACATTTATATTAGTTCTTATAATCAATTAATTTTGTAACAGCCAATTGCAAGATAATATCATTGAAAATAATACTGATAATATTACGAACAAGGATTCCACAATATTTTTTTATAAAAGATAATTTCATAATGCGATAAAGTTGAAAAAAAAAAGTATAATTATATCTTTCTTGTGATTTCAATCTCGTATATACTGTCTCTTCGTTAAGAAAATGTTATTAACAGAATTAATGTTTGGAGCAGGCACATGAATAAACAGTGAGATATTACAGTCCATGTGCTACTAGAAATTCCATCTGCGTCGCGGATTAAACTTCGTGGCGCGGTAGCAACTAGTATACATATTAATATCTAATAGCCTAGATTGTTTACCTCACACTGCCGTTCGTATCGTCATCGTCGGTGTCACGAGACAGGTATTCCCGCGTCCCAGCAAAATAAAACGACTAACGAAGCGAAGCGAAGCGAAAGCGAAAGAGAGAGAGAGAGAGAGAGAGAGAGAGAGAGAGAGAGAGAGAGAGAGAGAGAGAGAGA